TGCCGTTGCCAGTGGTCATACAGTAGGCGTCGCCGAATCGGCTGATCTGTACGCTATGTTTTTGGCTGTTCCAGTGGTCGATGTATGTCTGGCCCGCACCCACTTTGCGTAGTATTTGATCATGGTTGATGGATCGGGTTAGTTCGTATTTGCCCGTATAGTCGTGCGTATGGGTCTGTGATTAAGGTAAATAATTGTTTAGCAACTTGTATTGTTTTGTAAATGATATAGTGTTGTGTAATAAAAGTTTTATCTGGATTGTTTATCTGGGTATTAATATTAAGCAATCGTTTGTTGAGATTGTTTTTAAAAGTTTGATATTTTTGTTATTTCTGTCATTTTTATTATATCTGTCTTTGTGTTGATAATTATAAAGAAATCGTTTTGTTTTTTAAGACTTTGAATCGTTTGATACGTAAATATGAGCAGAAATGTTGGTCTTTGGCTCTTAAACTGCATTAAATTATCGCATATTTTAAGTATTGATTCTCATTAATGCGAGATTTGATTATTATTTTTTAAAAATAATAAAATAACTATTGATTGCATTTATTATCAGCACTTATAGCGATCTTTTTTAGCGCTAATCTGTGTGTCTGTTAACCCCTCTGTGAAGTACTAAAGTTTTTTAACAAACATTATTCAAAACACTTGACAAACATTGAAAACACTTGAAATTTATAATACTTTAAGGTTATCCTATCATCCATGCAATCGCCTCCCGATAATCAAGATTAATCAATAACATCGGGGGATAAACACCTCAATCTCATAACTCACCTCATCATCGGTTGAATGGGCGATGAGTTTCATTAAATCCAATTCACTCTTAATCTCATTGTTTTCGCGACACAAATGATGATTTTCTGTATGAATGGCATCGAGTTTACGCTTCAGACTCTCTATACAGTTGTGACGGCGAGTGTCGGCGCCAACGGCTGAGTAGGACTGACCGCAAGTGGCGCACAGTTGTTGCGGGTCTTGAGGTTCGGGCGCTTTGAAGCCGCAACTCTGCCTGTGTTCGGACAGTTCCCGCAGTTTAAGCACAGTTTTGCAGCCATTAGTGTGAAAATCGCACCGTATTTTCAGGTCGTGTAGGGCTTTGAGTAGGACTTTGGGCGCCGACACGATGTCCTTATGGCTGATGGCGGGGCACTCGTTGGGACAGGTGTTGTACCGCCGCAACCAGTTGTGTGAAAATCGCACCGTATTTTCAGGTCGTGTAGGGCTTTGAGTAGGACTTTGGGCGCCGACACGATGTCCTTATGGCTGATGGCGGGGCACTCGTTGGGACAGGTGTTGTACCGCCGCAACCAGTCGTGCAGACAGTCTTTGCAGTAGATCTGTGGGCAACAGTGGCTGAGCACCGGGTCGTCAAATACGGCTGAACACAGACCGCATGAGACCTGATCCAAGTCCCGCTCCGACACGTCGATGAACCGAGTCTTGTCTAAACCGGGCATTGCTTTTGGTGCACAATATTATAGTTAGTATTGAATTATAGTAGTTATCAAACGGGTATCGTTTATCACGAGCTAAAATGCTTTTGTGTCCAGACCTACGATTCAGTGCCTCCTTATATACACACTTTCCTCATCCCATTTCATCGTAAAATGTTATCATATTTTTGATAAAAAGTATTTTTATTTTATATTTGATTAGTTGTTGTTATCCAACGTCTGTTGTTATCGCACACCAGAGATACCGATACTTAACTCAAACATTTTCGTTGTGGACCTGAAGTAAATGTTATAATACAGACAATTACTTTGTTTTTTACATATAATGATATCTAATCTTATCCACCAATTTAGGCAATTAGGAAGAAATAAATCCATTAAATATTATAAGAGGGATATAAGTTATTGATTATGTGATTAAAAGTGTAATATGAGCAAGGGTAATTATTAATTAATTTATATTGTTTAGTATAGATATTATGAGGCTTGATTTGAAATTTCTGTTGATATAATCGACAAGTGTCTACGAGATCAGGTCCGGGAGTTGTGACCATTTATATTACAGACATTTAATTATATATTTGACGGATATATATGTCATGTGACATATCAATAGATTGGATTTAATGATGGGATCACAATTAAGACAAAAAATTTCAACTATGATATAGGACAAAAAAGTTATTACAAAAATTAGTATAATTGGATTTATTTTGAATGTTATTTAGTTTAAAATATTATAATTGTATATTTATTTTAATTTTGAATAGTAATATTTATGTTTTTAATAATTAAAAGTAATTTTAAATTTAGTTATGTAAAGTTATATTTTAGAGATAAGAGTACAATGCTAGTCCATTGTTACTGTTATTTAAGGGGATGTATTTAATTGCTGCCTTAAAATGATGTCTTTGGTAATTAACAAAAGTACCTTATAGGTAAAGAGCTAATCAATATAGGTAGTTAGAATATTATAGTTAATAATTGTGATCCTGATCATAAGTTATGATTCATAACATATTGTGGTAACAATTGGTGCATTAAATAATATTATATTCGTTAACTAATCGAGTGTTTAATTTAATCAAACAATTCATTTGATAACATTTAGTTTGAGATAAGATATAGCGCTATAAGGAGTTTGTTTTTCTCGTTTTAGTCACTTATTGTTATCCAAATCATATGATTAGTTAACTAATGATCTGAATCGGCATTTCATTAAATCTCTGTTTAAAGTGCATTGAATTAAAGCATACAATTTATTAAAGAGTACGTGTATTATGAGTACTCCTTATGTAATGTAATTAATACCAAATGTTTCATATTTGTAATTGTAATTTTTTAATTTATTAACTAACATTAATTGCAATTAGTGATAAACCTTTCCATAAAATATTTCCATGAAATACAGTGTATTTCAAAGTGTTTCACATGATATTTATTGTTTATTATTTATTTACCGTAATACAAACAAATCTCATTAAATAGTGTTTATCTAATGACAGTGAAAAACTTTCCACTGTTTGGTCGAGTAAACTGTTTTAATTAATTTATTTATAATTACAATTTATTATAAAAATTTATATTTAATAAATATGTTAAAATATTTAATTCGGAAATTCAATTCATAAATTCAATTCAGATTATGCAAAGCTATTGATTATGCAATGCAATATTATAAATAAAAATTAATATACAGTAAGTTAGTGTTAGACAAACTTTATTCTTATGTTTACTATGTTTTAACTTAAAACTTAAAATTTTTAATTAAATAAGGGTTATTTTAATATACAAATCATGACTTACTCGCAAATGTCTGTCAAAAAAGCGTATGGTAAGACATCATGAAATCCGTAATTATCATCATATGGTATGTGAGGTATGGTATACTTGTAAAGAAAACTATCCAGGTATAAATTAATGCAGTGTATATCAATTTAAATCACATTTAATACTAGTTTAACTAAACTCTAATAGCACCATGTTTATTTAAAACAATTTAGATTAAAATAATTATAGCAATTGTGGTATTTTTATGCACTAGGCACTTTTTTAATAATTGTAAATAAACACAGAACATAATGCTAGAGTATAACTTGTTATCTATCGTGAGATTATTAATGCATAATATTGTGGTAAAACATGTGAGTGAACATCTAGATAAAAAAGTTTATTTTTATACAGTTAAACTTTTATGGAATGTTAAGACATTGAACATGGCATAAATTAATGTGAAAGTTAATTATTTGTAATTTTCCAGGCAATAAACGGCAATGAAATGAATTAAGATGCTGTATTGATTGCCACATAATTGTGATGTAAACATGTTTACTATATTTGCGGTTCACTGTATGCGGGGGTTCATTATGTAAACATATGATGGTTGGAATATTAGTACAAAGTTTTAATTTAGTTCATAATGCAGTGTATTTCACAGTCTTGTGATTGAATCTCATTAGAATTGTGAGTAAATTAATGTTGTTTTCAGCTTATATTTACGTATTTTGAGTGCTTTCATAACTTATGAATCATAAGACTTTAAATTTTCTATTTATTGGTGTAATTAATGATTACATAAGTTATAATGTATAATTTTGTAGACAATTTTTTAATTATTGTCCTAAATATTATTTTTATAAATTATATAAAATTCCATGTATTATATGGCATTAATTATATATCATGCATAATTTAATTATAAGTGTATTAATAAGAGTATTATGTTATATATAAACATGTATTAGATTTGTGTTAACACTGTCCCAGACTTTGCCCAAAAATACCTTCAAAAAACTTCAAATTCTTTAGCAAAACAAATATTGAATAAATGCAACAATTAATTAGGCTTTCAATCCCTACGGTGTGTACCCAATGGCGGGGAATGGGATGCGAAAGCAAAAGTATGAACACATTTATTATTAAAAACTATTTTTCATTTTAAAACAAGGAGAGAGAGAGAGAGAGAGAGAGAGAGAGAGAGTGCAATCAATTCTTTAAATATTTCTCTTTTATTTTTCTTTAGAGTGCCAATAATTGTCAATTTATGAATCAATAATTGTTGAGCTAATGGAAAGCTTGTGAACCAATTATCACAAGTTATATTTCTCCCGGAACCTCTCAATGGTTTAGTTATATCGAGAACTATATTTGATCCAAGACTTTTAGCTCTATTACCATCGACTTTTCCTGTATAAAACATTGCGTCCCAACAATAGGCTGTTTTTGCATCACATATGAGAAAAAACTTCAGCCCATATTTGGCCGGTTTATTAGGCATGTATTGTTTGAAAGAACACCGACCTCTAAATGCCCTCTACATTTCATCAATTGTCACAAATTCAGATAATTCGTAATTTTTTTTACAATTTTTACGAAAATTATTAAAAATATCACTAAAAAGTGCCAGTTTATCACCGGCCGCAATTCGAGCAACTCTTGAATTTTCGTGATCAAAACTCACATGAGCTGTGAGAAACTGAAAGCGTCTCAACGGCATCACCGCACGGAAAATGTCACGGCCTCGGCCATTAGTGTCCCATAAATCAGCCGCATTTTCATGGGCAGATTTATGGACTCCTATTAATAATGACAATCCAATCCACGCTAGGATTTCTCTGTCATTGGTCTTATGTTCATACGACTGACATTTTGTTTGTGATTGAAGTTTTGGATTGATTTTGTTGTAAATCTTATTATTGGTATTAATCACAATCAATTTTAACATATCATCTGTTAGAAATTGTCTAAATGTAGATAAAACATCTGAGCATTCAGTGGACGTGACTTTTGGTCCACTTTGAAAACGTATAATATTATGTTGTGATGTCTTAGTCGATGAATGAGATGACTGCGCGGATGACTGTTGAGGTAAACTTTGGCACAAAATAAAATTATTATTATCATCATCTGAATCGGTACCAGAATAGTAAACTGGCTCTGAGTCTGAGTCCAGTACAATCTCAGACAAGCTATCATGTTCACTGTTTTCAGTGTTATTTGAAAAAATGTCACTATCACTGTCTTCGTATTGATTATTATTTTCGTTATTTAGTAACCAATCCATGTTATTATTTATTGACATTTTTAAAATTATTAATTTTAATAAAATAGTACAAAAGGGTGATAGCGCTGTCACCTTTTTGTACTGACATTATTTACACAAATGTTTATTAATTGTTTACTTGATTTAAACATATTCATTGATTAGTAATTACATTTCATAACACAATATAACAAACAAACACCTGATATGAGATTCAATGCATAAGAGATTACATTATGGCTGACGTGTGTTTATTGAGTGTGAGTTCAAATAATAACAAAAAGTGTTACCATAATGCACACAACGTACACAATAAAATATACAGCCAACTAGGCCTGCGAGTAATACATGTACACATTGTGAACACTGCTTATGCTGTTTTTGGTTACACATTAAAATGCTACCACTATGCACACAACGTATACAATAATGATTAGTACTGTTTAACCTATGAACAAAAACTCACGTATCGCGCACAGTGGTAGCATTTTATATAAAATCATGTTTTAATCATGCTTACAATTAACTTATATTATTCAAAAATTCTAAATATTTAAAACTTTTTCCCTTTGAGGCATTCCTGAAATTTTTTGTAGCTGGTGCTTGTTGTTGATTTTTAATTAATTGTTAAACACCACATTCATATAAATGTAACCACGATGCAGGTTAAGCGTTAAACACACATGTTATGAGTTAAGGAATTTTTATTTAATTATAAAGAAATTACATAGTAAAATTTTATTGTGTTATATAAATAGTATAATAATTGTTAAAACATGCATAACTTTACAAACAAAACTTTATTTATAAAAAACATTGCAATTAATAGATATTTTTATAATACAGAAAAACAGGTAATAATAATTATAATCAAAGTATACGTGACTATACTCAGGGACATTTCAATAACATCAATACAATATTTGAGATTTCAAGTAGTTATCACACGATTAAACCCCCG